GATAAATATTAAATTGTATTAGTTCTAATTGTATTAGGGATTTTTTTAGAATGTTGCAAATATAAAGTTATTCTTGTAAATAAACAATCTAATTAATAAATAGTGTTTAATATTTTTATTGTAAATTCTCAAGAATAATAAAAAATATATAAATTCAATTTCATTATATGTTTAGGTTTTATTACAATTCTAATCACTGCTTTTTAAAACTATATAAATGGCTGAGGAGCAATGGTAGTTAAAAATAATAGCGGTGTCAAAGGAAAAGTCACCCTTTTGACACTCCATTTTTTTTTCATAGACATGTATACATAATAATGTAACCGGTGGGTTTATTGTGAGGGTGTTTAATATCGAGTTGCTGACTTTGTTCCAGATTGATATCTACCTTATTTTGAAAGACTAACCTTTTACAATTTCAATAGTATTCTTCTATTAAGACATCATTTTCTGATTAAGTTTTATTTCAATAACTTTTATTAAATATTTCAGAAGTTATCAAATACATTTCAGCACATGATTTTTCACGTTTCGTGTTATTTTGAGTTCAAGTTTGACCATAATACAGCTAAATATATGAGGATTATAAATTTATATTACACACACGCATCGTTTTCATATGTGAAGACTTAAAGTTCCACTTATATTTATATTCAGGCTTTCTGTAGTCATATTAAGTTTATTACTTATTAACAGCGAAAAAAAAAAAGAACCCCGAATTTATGTCCAACAGAATAATTTTAATAGGCGTTTAAATCTGCCGTAAAAACATGACCGCTTATTGGTTTTTATTCTCCGGAACAGTATCCGATTTTAATTTTTACTTGTTGTAATTTTTTTTACGTAATGTTCACTCTTTACAAGGCCCGGGAGCCACTCGAGGTAGAGTGTTACGTTAAGCAATTTATGTGGATAAGAGAGTCAGATAACGGTTAATTTTAGGCTAGAACAGGTTAAGAGTGTAGTGATCGGGGAAGCATCCTCTTCAGAGCCGGTCCCATAGAGCAGTGGTTCGCATGAAGAAGCTCTTAGAATTGAACTTACTTCTCACCAATGGAAGACGGAGGGAATGTGGGTGCTTTGCTACAATGTAAGTGACATGGCGTATCCTTACTGTGAAGGTTTAAATTGGCGGGACCAGAGAATGTAGTTCGTCCGAGCACTTTCCGTGGAAACAGCGATAGAGCAACAAGAGGCTTGCTTTTCACATAATTCGTATCTGATGACGTTTAGTAGAGCTTAAACGGCAACAGGTCTAAATCTTCCAGAACTCTCCTCAATATCCAAACTGATTTTTGGCTTACGGCCTCATAACGTTTAAACACCGGTTTCCGTACAATAATCGAAGTTAAGCAACGTCGAGCCTGGTCAGTACATAGATTGATGACCGCTTGAGAATACCAGATGATGCGAGCGTGGAAGTATGCGTGGTGTAATGGATAATGGCTCGGATTTGTTAATCGGAGAGCTGAGTTCAAATTCCCGTTGGGTTCGTTTTATTCATTTTCGCGCAAATACTCTTAGGAAAGTATCTACCTCTTCTCCTCCCAGCTATGGGTTAATTAGTAAAACTTGTATAACTAAAGCATTATTATTTTTAAAAAATTCTTACAATTTAAAAATATTTTCTGGATTTAAATAACTTAATCCATTAACGTTAGAAATGGCTGCAAGTACGTGCTACGAAAATTTGGTAAGAGCATTTTTAAAGAGCAATTTTATCCATATTTTCATTTTCATTATGTACACAAAAAAAAAATACAAAAGCTATATTTTAACTCTTTCGATTCTTATCCTATACATCCCCATATGACCTCACAACGTATGCGTTCATGGTTCTCCACAATTTCCTGTCCTTTGTAACACGTAATAAATTTTGTTTTGTCGTTATTTATTCCAAACCCTGTTCCGCCACCCATTTCTTAAAGCTCATAAAGTATGTTATGCGCTTTTTCTCTTTCCCTAAACCTGTCCTGTGAGCATCAGATTTTCCAAGCCCTCCGTCTTCATGATGCGCCCCAGAAATTCCAATTGTCTCTTCCTGATATTAGGTATAAGTTTCCTTTTTGTTTCCATTTTCTCTAAAACTTCATTGTTTCTCACATGTTCGGTCCATGGTATCCTCAGCATCTTTCTGTAGAACCACATTTCTACTGTTTCCAGTCTCTTCATCATCTTTGAGGAGATTGTCCAGCATTCATTGACACACAGGAGGAGAGATAGCTTGTAACACTTTTCTTTGTAACGAAGTTTTTTTGTGTGTCTTAATACACTGCTTAGCGATTGGGCACGTGTTCGAATGGTTAGAACGTTCGCATCCTGACAATGAGACCCGGGTTCGAATCTCACTATTTGTCGATTTGTCAAGAAGGATTGGAGGAGTCGATCCAAGCATGCGGCACCTTTGGAAAGTCCCTGAAAAACATGCCACGCGTTGACCCAAGCCTTGTGAGTGAAATTGGGTAGACTGGACCCTTCAGTGGCGTCGATAGCTGTGCTAGCACGAAGTCACAAATCATCGTGGCAGAGTGCTTGAGCGTGCTAGCCTTGTTCAAATTGTTGATCACCCTAGATAAGACGATCTTTCTCAGAAACTGTAACCAAGGTCTGCTCAGCATAGTTGCAGTATAAACCACAGGTGAGCTCTATGGGTGGTGGATAAACACAAATGTGCCTGAGTAAGTGTCTGCAATAGGGATGGGTTAGTAAACAGGTATCCTCGAATACGAGTGGCCAGCTGTATATATTAGCTTTTGGAAGACATCTTTGGCTAGTTTCCTAAATTTAATATTTTTTAAGGCTTACGGTCACATCACGTTGAAACCCCGGTTACCACAAGATCAGTGAAGTTAAGCAACATCGAGTATGGTCAAATCCTAGATTGGGAATGCTAGGTACTGTAAGCTTGGATGTGTGTGGTGTAATGGATAATGGCGTGGACCTGGAAAATGGCGAATTGAGTTCAAATTCCAACTGGGTTCGTTATTTTTCCTTTACGAGCAAATACACTTGAGAAAGGTATGAATCCAACTTTTCTACCTCCAGATACAGATTAATTAGTAAGACTTGTATGTTACTAAAACCATTATCACAATAAAATAACATAAATAAAAATTGAGTACAAAATATTTAGATATCGGTATTAAATTACCTAAACAACAAACCAACCAATCTGTTCTGTACTTACTTACTATCTATCTATATATATATATATATATATATATATATATATATATATATATATATATATATATATATATATATATATATCAGTCTGCTCATATCTATTTCAGCTTGTTCTATATTATCCATGTAAATTTATTCTATACAATATATCTTACCTTGTTCATATCTATCTATCCATATATATATATATATATATATATATATATATATATATACCAATCTGTTATATACTATCTCACTGTTCTTATCTATCTATCTATCTATCTATCTATCTATCTGTCTGTCTGTCTGTTCTAATTTAATTCGCTTAAATTCACTTTCATCTTTGCCGTATGCCGACGCCTTAGTGGTAAATTCTCCGACTGAGAGTAATTCAGCCGGGTTTCAATCCTAGCTAGAGGCAACCGGACGTCTAGTCACACTGATCAGCTGTCTCTGGATGACTGTATGTATATATGAGTTTGTTCTATACAAAATAACTTAGCTTGTTCCTCTCTGTCTATTTCAATCTGTCACATACTTATCTATGATTTTGAATCTCTTTCTATCCGTGAAACTTACTTTTTGCTTTCGCAAATACTTTAGGAAATGTATGAGTTCACCTCTTCTCCTGAAATAATATCTGTTTAATTATCTAAAAAAAAATAATTTTTAGAATCTATATAAACAAATGTGAATGTCAGTGTGTCACTCTTTTTGAACTTTACCCTGGAGGCCGTAGCCCAACATATCATACCATTTTGGAATCAGGACGACTCCACGAGCAAATTAAAAACATTCTGATTCGGACCCAGACCCGGAATCCTGAAATTTTGGATCCTCAACTTTTTATTTCTGCGATTGTTTTCAGCCATTTTTATGTGACTTTTCGCGACAAATTTTTTGTACAATAACAATTTTTATAACTTGAAAATAAATTTGGAAATAATCGAAATTAATTGCAAAATACAGTGAAAATATTTTTTGTATGACAAATAAGGACCTACATACATTAAATTTTCTTAAATTAAGTGACTGCAGAAGAATTATCGCTGAACTTTTAAAAGATAAGCTTAAATATTAATGCAATACTTAAATGCAGCGATCAATTTAGAGTTCTTCTGTAGTTTATTGTTGCCTATTGCATACGGCAATAGTATGCATTGCAAAAAGAAATCTCTGCAATCAAAAGAGCCAAGACTGCAGCGAGGGAAAGAAAGTCCCGTGCAAATGAAAACCCAAATCAAACGACAGCCAGGATAGCTTCCAGTGTTGCGAATATGCAAACTCTCAAACTCCTGAACAAGCTGAAAGCCCAATGAAGAGCCCTCCGCAAGAGTTAGCTTAAATGCCACCTGATAGGCCAGTTTTTAAGCTAGTTTAAAATATTTTCTGCCTTTAAATAACCCGCAGATGGTTGATAAACAATAGAAAATGAATTAATCAATAAATCTAATATTTAGCATGATAATCCTTGAAGCATAATTCCGTGCACAATGGAGTCGGTCACTGTTTGCCACAATTCGCGATCCTTTTTCTCCTGTTTTCTATTCGAGAAGAATGCACGCAGATGTCGGAATGTCGTTGGCTTTATCTTCCAGCTTTCTTTGCAAACAAATACTCCAGGAAATGAGATAACTTCATTTAACCTCGTAAACTGTGACCTCAGGAATCATGGAGTTGCCTATAATTTATATAATCTCAAAGCACGAATGAATGGTGTTAGCATCGCCGGAAAAAATCTAAATTATCAATTCATGATATCTGCTGTTCTCTAATGAAGCATCAATGGACGATGCCTAGAGTTTAAAGGTCAAAGAACTTACCAGCCATTC